TGGCGATTTGGATAAGCGTCAACATAAAGACGTCGCGCTTCGGTGGCGTTCCCATTAGCACGACCATACATGAAATGCATGTCTGTTAATTCTGCGTTAGAGTAACCAGCCATAGCGAAAGAAAACTTGTGCACTGAGAACAACTGTCAAATACGTACTGTTTATTTCACTAAACATCAACCAACTATTATAAGAAAATACACAACGTTTTTGCAAAATAAAAAAAGGGGCTAAAAAACATAAAACATTCCATATCTCCGCAACCGTTACTTTGCGGACCCATGTTTATTGAGACTTTTCTGCTTATTTTGGTTCATACTATTACCTCCTAAAATATTTGACACTCTTTTTTTAACAACCTGTATAAAGCAATCTTTGTAAGAAACCTCCCTATTTATTTAAAGGGCAGAGTATATGTTTAATTTTTTCACACCTTTTTTAGTGACGTCTTTATCCTTCAATGTTTAAATTTAAAAATGACCTACCAAATAAGTTTTCATACTCTTGAAAACCATATAAAATAATTGAAATAATCTTAGATTTCTTTAATTATGAAGACTAATAAAATAAACAATATGTACTTATCTAAGGTAAATGAGATAGATATATTTCTTCTATAAAATTGATTTATAATTAAAATAATTAAGCATAGTGAGAAATATTCTTTATGTATTTTCTGGGAAAAATTTTACTGCGGTTTTTATTTATATGCAAACTTTTTCTTTATGAAAATTTTACTTCTTAAAAAATTAAACTGAAAATAAAATATAGTAGAAATAAAACAATAAGTAAAATAGATCTTAAATAACAGTAAGCTACAATCTCGATATATGTGTGGTTAGGCAAAGTTCAATATGGTAATTATTGATAATTTACACAAAGTCGTATTATTTATTTACCTTCAGTTCAATATGTTTATTATTGATCTTTCATATACTCTTCAATAACTTTAAATGATGATATATATTTAGGTATTTAAACATACTATATTTTACGTCGCAAATAAATCTAAACATGCCTACTGAACAACTGGCATAGTTCACTAACTGGTTGAGCCAAATCAGGTCATGAAGATTCACACTTCTATTCGCATATTTACAACAAATAAAGTGCTCATAAAGGATTAAAAATAATACATAGAATACAATAACATGTAAAAGTACAATGTAAAAGGAAAATATATAAAAAAATATAAAATATGCAAAAATCTTCTGTGAATTTCCACAATTTTTATCGTGTAGTACGATTTACAAAATATATACCCTGTATATAAATATTGTTGTGAATTTTGTTTCCATTGAACATGAGATAATATAGATTTTTTATATAAATCCATGAACTTTATTTTAAAATATTTATCTTAAATTCATAAAATTACAAACACGATTTCACATATATGAAACGTTATGATTTTGTTAAGATAATGTGATATTTGTTTCCTTAACCTGCTGAAAACATTTGTCCATTTACCTCATAGTAATAACAAATCACCAAAACAGTATTCAAGAGTGATTTATTTTTTGCTCTGTACTTTTATGTTGAAAACTTGGAACTTCTGAAACATTTCACTTTCTGAAAAGGACCACTTCGTTTCCCCCTCAGTAAATATCCTGAAAGAAGGATAACGTTTCGGCTAGTGAAACAAATTTCACCCTGACGGAATTTAATTCATCAAAACGCCCTTTTTTCACTTAATATGACTTCGCAGTAATCTTGGGCGCCAGATTAACCTAAGTATAACAGACATTTCCTTGGTACAGTTTGCTTTGTTATAAATCAAGTCAAAATATATTGCCATAAGAAAGGTGAGAAGCCCTGACACAGCCAGATTATTGCAAACGTTTACAAATTTTGCTCGACAAGGATATACCCTAATACACTCTTTTTCTTCTCTCTTTTCTTTTTCTGTGTTACACACATAAAAATTTACATATTTTTATGTAACTATATATATTTGCTTAAAAAAATAAAAGAAAATAACAAAACTACTAAATAGTATATTGTATATAGGATTATAATTTAGGAAAGGAAAATGAGGCAGCTGTGATGGATAATTTGATAGAATTTATTTTCCTTTGTACATTTTTAATAAACAGTCATATTTTTGGAAGCATAATTTGTTTTATTGTATTTAGGAAGATAAGGAAAAAGTGAGTACATTTTTTTACTCAGAGATTTTTTGTAGAAATTTGTAAGTCAAAAAACATGTATCACATACGCAACCACCAGTAACAAAAACCCGTTTCCTTGGATTTTTTTTTACTTTGAATATTAAAAAATAAAAATTTGTATTATAATGGAATTGAAAATTTAAATTTGATGACAATAGGAATAGGAATTTTAAGGGCTGCAAAGGTATAATAATAAAATATACAGGCTGTTACAAATTCGCTTCTCACTACAGGGGAAACGGTAAGAGCTACGAAGTAGCTTAAATGGGGGCAAAGTTGCGTAGTCCGGGGACCAACAATATGCCTCTAGTTTTCGAAATATCTGAAAAAAAAACGAAATTTTGAAAATCCGTTTTTGTTTATTTTCAGCCTTGTTTGAGGAGATATTGAAAAACGAAGAACATTTTCTCTGGGCCACTTTTTGCCCTCTATCGAATGGCATAATCAATTTTTATATGTAACGTTTCGTCTCTCCAGGACCATCATCAACTTCATTTTTTTAAATACGACTCTGGAAATTTTCTTGTCTCAGCCCTAACTAGATTCAGACGTTTTGTCTCGAAAAATTCATCTTCAGTGTATTTTTTTTAGATTTCTTTGTTTATTGAATTATCGTACACTGTAAGTGTTGTTAGGCCCTGCGAAATCCATCTAGTTATTTAAACTATTACCACCACGCGCTACAGTAGAACATTTAATATTATTAACTATCACCTGGTCATACATAACTCAATAAGTTGTTGCGTCAAATATTGTTACAATTTTAATTTTATTATGACAAATTAATTCTTAAAAATGCATATGAACAACCAAAACGCCAACTGAATATTATTCGTAAAAATTTCAGTAAATGTTCAAAAACATTTTCGTTTTGGGAAAGGTTGAAAATGAAAATCAGCAGAATATTATCGGAATTTATTATATCTGTAACTGCAACTGTGAAAGAGCATGTCAGATGTATTTGTATGAATATCCTGAAAAAAAATAGATCGGAATTTGTTTGAATTTTAAGCACTCGAGAAGCCTAGAAATAACTGGACACGGGAGTCAAACTCTAATAATGTTTTATTTTAATGCGTGGTGGTAATAGTTTGAATAACTAGATGGGTTTCACAGAGTCTAACGACACTTACAGTGTACGATAATTCAATAAACAAAGAAAACTAAATAAAAAATTTAAATAAATTTGGAACGAATACACTGAAGATGAATTTTTCGAGACAAAACGTCTGAATCTGGTTAGGGCTGAGGTAGTACAGTATTGGGGTCATGAAGGCTTACAAAAAAATTTAATAAAATTTCCAGGGTCGTATTTAAAAAAATGAAGTTGATGATGGTCCTGGAGAAACGAAACGTTACTTATAAAAATTGATTATGCCATTCGATAGAGGATAAAAAGTGGTCATGAGAAAGTGTTCTTCTTTTTTCAATATCTCCTCAAACAAGGCTGAAATTAAACAAAAACGGATTTCCAAACTTTCGTTTCTTTTTTTTCAAATATTTCGAAAACTAATAATGTTAGCCTTGATTTTTTAGAGGCATAATGTTGGTCACCTGATTATGCAACTTTGCCCCCATTTAAGCTACTGCGTACCTCTTACCGTTTCCGAGATTCCTGTAGTGAGAAGCGAATTTGTAACAGCCTGTATATCGATATATATATTTTTTATTTATTTATAATTAAAAAACAACTTTTTTATTTATTATTTTTAACAATTTTTTAATGGACTTCCATATTTAGGTTTCTTATGTAGAACTGCTTCATTGTTATCGCAAAGAAATTTCAAAGAAAACAGATTTTTCTAGAAAATATTAAAAAGCAAATAATTAATTCGTAATGTACATTGTGTACTCTAGCAATATATAAAATGATACGTTTGATGCCCATAAATATTCAAACCTCGGGAAACTATAAAATTTTCCAAGAATTTTCCGCAATTTTCTTTTCTCTAATTCTAATTCTAATTAATCCTAATTCTAATTAATCTGTACTTCATTTAAAACTTCATTTACAAAATATACGGGAAAACTATTGGGAAAATAGGAGCAATTTTGTGGAAAATTTAATTTTGATCAATTTTTATTTAAAACATTTTTTCGAAAAAATTCATCTTCATTGAGATATTCCTAGGCAATAAAAAGAAATAATAAAGAAGTACTGTTTTTACGTAACATAAAAATGCGAACATATTGAGCACTGCTGAAGTCGTGAGGGAATAACACACATTGTATTCTAATACGACACACCACTATAAATATTAGATATTGGGACTTAATATTTTCCTCAAACATTACAGGGTGTTTTACAGCTTATCTAAAAAAATATGTACAATGAATCTATTCAAAAAAAAGAAATCAGAAAAGAATTTAGAGAGGTACCTACTAAATAGGTCTAATTTAATCACAGGTATTTTTTTTAGCGAATTCAATAACTAAGATTGTTATTAATTCCTGATAATGTTAAATATAATCAGTAAATGTTAATTAGTAGTAGTAATGAAGGAACAAAAATAGTACCTACTCAAAGTTACAATAACTGTTCAAAATTTTGTCCACGGAATTATAGCCACATTTGGGAACTTCAGTACAATACAATTTATTTGAAAATATCTAAACTGTAGCTTTGAATACCAGCCAAAAAACTACTAGATATTAGTAGTTTTCTTACCTTAGACTACTCTATCTACAATATTCAGTTCCTGTATTATTGGTTGCCTATAAGTTAAAACGATTTGTGCATGTCATGTATTTACCATCTTCATATTGCAACACAGCATGTTTTGAACGATTATACCATAGATTACAGACAAATTTGTCTCTGTTCTGTGATTCTACTATCGTTTAATCGCTTGTTAATTGTGTTACGTCAGTGGAACACCTATAAGGTTTCTAACCTTATTCAGTCCTCGTCAGTTTAGCGACAAAGTTTGTTGGTAGTGCAAGTGGTGAAATTATATTTTAAAAAATGGCAGAAGTTGTGACAGAAGGCCTATCACTAGATAATCCACTTGTTCGTGTCTATGCTTTCTATTGCTCCATACTTGTTTTGAAAATGATGTTTATGTCTGTTTTTACCAGTATGACCCGTGTGAAAACAAAGGTAACTATTGCCAAATTATTTATTAAATAATATTTATCTAATAAAATAATAGGAACAAATGTATTTACAAAATATTTTTTTTTCATAATCAACTGATGGATACAATCAGCTGTTTTTTTTTGTTTTATCGCAAAGTTATGTTTAAATTTTAATTTGATAGGTACCTATTAACATTTCATTTTTCAAACTTCATAATGCTGTAACTTTAAGACAAATCTTGTGAAAAATAAGAAAGCAATGGTTATTAAAACAAATGTGCAAATATTCGGCATCCCTTTCGATATCAGCTTTATTTACATATTTCGTAAATTTCGTTCAAAATTTTTTCACTGCTTCGTATGAACATATAGATCCAACTCGACTACAGGTTGCTGAAAATTTATAACTGTTTCGTTTTTTTATGTATGTCATAAATGGATTGACTTATTTTTTATAACATATTATGTAGGTAGGTACATATCTACTTCATCAGAGGGCAAGTTTTGGTAGAAACTAGATCGTAATAGCGCCAGTGCCAGTGGCGTTCCTCATAATATTTTCAATTTTAAGACTTGTTTTAAGAGAACAATACCATTTCATTAATAATAGCATAAAAGAAGTAGGTAATTGTAGATTTTTTAACTTTTTTGAAATAGATAGTCGAACAATTATGTACGTATGTACGTACATGCATGGCCGTGCCCCTCCCCTCCCCCACTAAGGTTTAATCTTATTTTCAAGGTTGAGTAACATATTTGATGATAAGAAAATATAAGTAATGTAATTAGGGAGGTAATTAGCTGTTTATAACAGAAAACTTTATATAAAAAGAATCTTGTTGACACATTTTTTATTTGACCTCTTTTCTTTTTATAAAACTGTTTAATTTATTAGTTTTATATCTCATGCGTCGTTAGCATCTGACAACAGAATTAATGCATATAAATGCTGCATAATTTCTATACGAGAACAATGGCTTTCAAATAATAAGCATTATAATACTGAATAATAGTAGAATTAGTGGATGATCAGATTATCGTGTTAAATAATAATAATAATTATTATTATTTATTTACAAATTGTTTTATTTTAGACGTAATTCTGTGATTATTGTTAAATTTATTTAGTTTTTGTGCTTTAAAACAATGTGATTTCAGTTTTTGTTATCTTGTTTAATACACTTTATTTTAGTAATAACTCTTTTTGTATATATCTCCAGTACCTATTTACCCAAGAAGGTTTAGACAGGCAGTGTATGGAAAATTCTTGGAAAATGGAAACGAAACTTGGTGCAGAATGGTGTATGTTCTTTATTATCAAATTTTCTTTCCAGTTTTGTATTTATGAGATTAGAAATTTTCTTAGACAATAGCAGAAATATTATCAGTAGCATAAAAATCATGGGGAAATGCCATTTAAAAAATACAATTTCTATATATTTTTAAACTTTTAAAAACACATCCACATTTCCGATTTGGCCCACCCTGAACAATTTTTCTGAGGATGCCCATGATATCAGCGCTTATGTTTTACTTAGTCGATTGCCTTAAGTATTAAGTTTCTAATAATAACAGATGCTGTTGTTATTTAATTTGATATCTAAAAGATAAACGAAAATACTTTGACGTTGAATGATACGATTATACCTATCTATTTACAAAAAGTGATATTGAATTAATAAAGGTATACAACATAATAAACAAACATATAATAGGATCGTATTCGATGCAAAGTAGAGCAAAAAGTTGTCGGTCTTTTATCAAAGGAAAATCGTGTCATCATTTTTAGGAGGCGTAAGATAAATCATTTCAAATTTAAAATGAAATTCCATGTAAAATCTGAAATACCGCTGCATACGCACTGTGTTTTGGTAGTAGCTGTAGTCGCCCAGGTGCATCGAGTGTACGAACTGGTCGGTTATACGTCAAATACTAACCTGGCGAGCTTTGCCGTCAATTAGAGAGCGCTTCCAAAAAACAAGTAAACAACAGTGGCGCGTACAGAGGTAAAATGTAGTACATATGTGGAATTTAGGAAATAAATTGGATTTATAATAAAATTACATTTAAAATAAATAGTTTATGAGAATAAAGGAATTTTTGTAGGAACAAGGGTGCCAGACCTGAACTGATCCCCTCGTCCCTTCATAATGTATAAAGAAATTATTCAACTTGTAAATACCCTTAATCGTACTTCATTGGTTCCCTTGACAGGCAATGATTTATTACTTTGCATCGAATATGATCCTACTCTAGTTTTGTTTTAGAAAATATATATTTTATTATACCCAACTCTCGCATTTTTTATTGTAAAGGTATTCAGAAAAATCAAGTTTTTATTTTTTTTTATCCTATGAAATGAGGTGAGACAATGATCTTCGATGCCATAAATCCAGGTATGCAAAAGATATCCCAACCTCACAGACAAAATTGTCAGCTATTATCGGATTACACCACACTAATACTCAGTAAACAGTTAGTAACAAATAATTACTAAAATAAAATCTAAAAATGATATGTCTAAATAATTAATAGAAAGAAGCAGTTAGTAACATTTTCTGATAGTTTGGATATCTCTTTATCTAGATTTGGTGTCGACTTCATTTCATAAGATTTTAAAAAATATATTTTTGTGAATTTGTTTCAATACATTAAAAAAGGTGTAAAAACATGTTTCTTATCAGTGGCTATCAGTCATTTGTTTTATCATCTTTTATTTACGGTACTTGACCATTTCTGAGAATACAGTGCCGTACCATAACACCCCTTTTGCTAAAGAGAACCTTAAGTTCAATCGGATCCTCCTCTTTTTTGCTTGAATCTTCCTCGAGGTACACCTCTATTCAATTTAATATAATCTGAAAATGAGTTACCAAAAGTAACTGTTATTAATGACGCATATATCACCAAAGGTGTTTGAACAAATGGTGAGTCACTGCGTATAAACAATTTTCTAAAGTGTCCCTAAAAATATTATAAAAGTATAAAGAATTTAAGTGCATAGAACGAGAAAGAATGCATTGAAACCGCACTGCAACGTTCGGCACTTATCAAAAAAATGTGTATTTAATATTTTCGTACTTCCCTTGAAGGATAACATTACATCATTTACTAAAAGCTATGTAAACCTTATTTCCTGAGGGACGTCGAGAGGTTCTTTATCAGAAAGATCAATCATTTATTGAAAATTTGGCAACATAAGATATTCTATTAAAATATTGTTCACAATACCAGCTTAAACATAAATGGGGAAATAATATTAAAGGCTACTACGATGAACTTCATGAAAATAAAATTATAGCAGATAAATCTTGGTATTGTTGATAATTTGCTAGTGGCAATTTGTACAAATCTACACGTAAAGGATAATTTTAGTTAAGCAGATTATATTATAACCAAATTAAAGTGTCTATTTATCTAGCACTTATGATGTACTTAAATTTGGATTGTACCAAATTAAAAAATTTTTAATGTCGATAGATAAAGATCTGCAGCGACCTCGATCAATTTCTAGATACAGTTCTACTAATCAGCGTCTCGAAGCGATTGACAACATGAGTTAAGAAACATCAATTTTTTAACAACTTTCTAGACAACTTTTAATAAGGTATTTTTTAGCAATTAACTTCTTTTACCAAGATCTACTTTTAATTAAAAATAAATATTCAAATTGAGATGTAATTGAGATTTAATAATCAACATTTTTATGGGCGATTCTAACAATTCATAAAATAAAAAATAATTCCATTGGAATACATGTATTATTTCCGAAATAATTTCGTATCGCCATCATAATTTGTAAACAAAATATTTTTTTTAATTTAATTGTACACTTTTATCATTTATTCTTATACATTTAAATTAATCCATAGGTTAATTCGAATGAATTCTTAAAATTTCCCTAAATTCTCATCAAATGACGTTATATTATACCACCTGATATTAAATATTTATACCCGCTACTTTGAGTCTTGGTTAAAGCTTGATTAACTGATCAGGCGATTAGACTGTACATATACAGATTTATATTATAAAGCTATATTCACAGTCTAATCGCCTGATCAGTTAATCAAGCTTTAACCGAGACTCAAAGTACCGGGCCTAAATCAAGTCCATCCAAGTTAGTTAATAATTATTACACAAGCCGACAAAAAAAATCGTGTGTTTTTGAGACGCGACCTTACCGATCTTTAGTAAAATATTCCGCTGAATCCGAAAATGATAAAAAATATATTTGTGACGTGTGGATTCCCCCGTATACAACCCGTAATTCCCCCCAAAAATTTTAAAAATTCAAGTTGGCCATCCAACCTACTTATCTTTAGTAAAATTCACCGAATCCGAAAATGGTAAAAAAAATAGTTTGGATGTGAGGGATCCCCCTACTAATCCATATCTCCCACTTGCTTCTTTCAAAAATTGGTTTAAGCACTTGGGTTTTCAAGGAGTCCTCAGTTATGTGATGTTTTGCAATAATACAGATTGCGTATGATTTATTCCCATGGTTATGGGGTTATGGGGTTAGAGGGTTATTGGGGTTTGGATTCATGGGCTTATTAGGTTGGGATATCAATGGGTTCAATGTCTATGGGATTTGGTTAATTAGATTTAGCGTTGGAAGCTTGAGTCTTAAGGTTATATGATTTAATTGTTCACAATATCAGTTTTTTTGAGGTTATGAAAAATCCTGATGTGATGGGGTAACACGGTCCTCGCATTCGGATTTAGCGACCCAAAAAACGTTTAATAAACATGGTCTGACCTCTGGGTCCGAAAGTCGATTTTTGTGTGTCTGATATTATATATAGTGTGGATACAAATTGTGGAATATTGCTTATATTTCTTAAAATATTCGTCATATCAAAAACATGTTTTAATAAAAGTTTTAGGGGAAATTATTTCCCGTTTAGTGATATCAAGCAATCTTTCGTAGCACAAAAAATGTGGTTGCCAAAGTAACCGACTTAATTTTTTTAAACGACACCATATACTTTTTTTGGTGAAAATTAATACATTGTACCT